TTTTTTTTTTTTTTTTTTGTATAAACGATAAACTTCTTCTTAAATCCTTTGTTAAACTCGTGTGCCACGAATTTCGAATTTCGTGATAAGATGACGGTTGAATTAATAATGAAAAGGAGAACAAGGGGGGGAAAAAAAAAATAGTCTAGTTGAAATTCGATGGTTCACGGATGAAAGAGGAATGACAGAGCGGCGGAGTTGGAAATATAATATTTTCGCGCTGGCTGTTTGATGGAAACTTATAACGCTTAGAGAAAGAAAAAGCGGATCGCGGATACCGTAAAAATATTGGCCGTTGAAGTTGAGAACCGCGCGAACGCGTCGTCTATTCGAGCAACGTAAATCATATTACACGGTTACTGAATCCGAAGTGAAAAATGTTTACAGAACTTGAGTCGTATAAAGTAGCAGTTTTTTTCGCTCGGGGAAAAACTGCAGTATTGACACTGCGAAATATTAACCGCAATAGTTGGGCGAAGTTGTTTCGACGAAAAGAAATATTATCTCGTGGCCCACGATAAGATATATATACGGCGATAGATGTATCGAATATACGATTTTTTTGGGATACGCTTAATAAAAGTGTTTTAAAATAATTAAGAAATGATGTTTGAAAAAATTATACACGTCGTGCGTTTGTCCTTTTTTCGCAAGAAGAAAGTAAAGAAATTTACATTTCAACAGTTTAATGATTATGAAATGCGGGTAATTACAACGTGTACTTTTTACTTGACCGCTAATTAAAAGCCGTATAGAAAATTTTTCCCTTTAACTTCAATTTCTTTTGAACAAAGCTTCGTAAAGTTTTAATGAGTTAGAATTTGTCGTAATTGCTTACCATTAGGATAAACTTGCTCGATACGATATTTTAGTAAAATGATCCATCGTTGGTAATTATTTTTGCTAATGCGCGAAGAAATTAAAATTTTTACTCGTCGAATCGAAGATAAAAGGAAAAAGAAGGGGGAAAAAGGGGAGAGTATAAAATATCTTTCGTTCCAATTCAACTTCTTCCATTGCATATATATATATATATATATGTATATTTATAACCTGTACTTTTTTTTTGTTTCGCAAAATCACCGGTAAGAATTTTATTTTCGAAACGCGTGTAACGCAAAATTTCCCCGTGTTGTGTAATTCTTGCTCGATGGTAAAAATATCAACCATTTCTACCATTCATAGTAGAAATATCCACCATTTCTGATACGCTGATTTCGCCGCGGCAAGTTTTATTTCCGGAATAGCAATTTCGTTGATGTAACGATAATAAATTCTGCACAGAGAGAGAGAGAGAGAGAGCACGAAAGAGATCCAAAACTGCGTGCAGAGATATTCGAGATCGAATATATAACATTTCGTAAAATGTTTTCGTTACGTTTAATCGTGATATTTCGGTATAATAATATCTCTAAAACTGTGCATCGTAAAATTGTGTAAAATTGTTTCGAGACAAATTGTATTTTTTTTTTTTTTTTTTTTGATTTTATAAATCCAAGCATTATTATTTATAATTCTTTCAATAAGAGAGAGAAAGGAAAGATATTCCCACCGTAAAACGTGGAATGGACGATATTCTGACGGAAGCGAGGGAATAATTTGATTTAACCACTGTTCATCCTACTTTCTCGCAACATGGCGCAATCATTAGTTTATTCCTTCTTTCTTCCCACGCAGATGCGAATTTTTTTTTACATTCACAGCATATCTTCTCACTCGAGTTTAAAATCCGTTAAATTAAACTATAACACGTTCGATCTACCATAACGTTTAATCAAACGATTTGTCGAACGAATAGAGTACATTAGACAGATAATTATTGCAAGACAAATACATAAAGAGAAATTAGAGTACAAAAATTCATCGAGCGACAAAGTGTATTTATTTTTTTTAATTTAAAATTTTATCTATCCGTTATTCCACATCGAAGAGAGAAAGAGCGCCCGAGAAATATATCCATTCCATGGAGATCCAAGTGAAACAATAGCATCGCACAAGGGAGCTGGAACGATTAAGTGGTAGGATGGTACGGTATATATTCCCGGGGATGCTCGAGGATACGAGGTAACTGGTCACAGGACGAAAACGTTCAACTACGGAGGAAGGTCCTTGTGATGATTAAGGCCTGTTAAATCGAGGGATGCGCGAATAGGGTTTGGGGGAGGAGGGGGCCTCCCTCGAAGATATGAGGGATCCGCCGGGAACATTCCAAGGACTCTCTATACAGCGGAGGAGAACGAGCCAAGGGCGGACTTAGAAGAGCAAAATCTCGAGCCGCGTCCTTGTTAAACGAGAATGTTCGAGGTATGGCCATTGGGTCGGGATCTACTTCAAAATATATACGTATACGTTTCGCCAAATATCTTGCCTTCCATTTCTTTCCCTCGAAGGTAGACACGAAGATGGCGAAATCGAGAAACTTCTCCAATATCTTTCTTTTCTTTTTCTTCGAAAATCTTTATCATTCTGGTTAACTAACCAAATGATTGAAATGTAATATTTTTAAGAATACCGCTTTATCCAAGATTAATAAAGATATTATTTAAAACATTATCCATGAACACTCGAACCAGGCAATCTTTTTCGTTTAATGAAGGTTAATATTAAACGTGAATCTTTGACGAGGAATTTAGACAAGGCAAGTTTACGCGATAAAAACAAATGGGGCGGGGGTAAAATTTTAATACGTAAGTTGAATTCGGATTCGACGAGAGGGGCCGGTTCAAACGATTCACGAAACGTTTCTCTCTCCTCCACGAGGGCTAATAAATCTAGAATCGTCCTAATGAAACGGCAAACCGCGCGTCTCGCCACCCTCGGCCGCTCAATGGTTCAAACGCGATGAAATCTCGTAACGTCGGTGTCAAGATTTGCATAATTCGCGGTGATAATTAAGCGATCTGCATATTACCGTCCCCGTCAGCCTCTCTTTTAAGGGCAAATAGTCCCTGCCACTAAACTTCTCCTCTTCCGTGCCCACAATTTCTCCTCCTGGTATTCCCGCTATTGGATTAAAGCGTTGTAACGAGCAATATATTCGTCTGTCCTCCTTCCCCTCCCGCGCATTTCGCACACGTGTCGCGCGAATTTCTGTCTTTCTATCGGGGGAAGTAGGCGTCTTTTTTTTTTTTTTGTAATTGTTGGACCGACGTCCAAACGACGAAACAATTGCCGGATACATAGGAAAATAGAGGGTGTGTATGGACTTTCTCTCCTCCTACATCCACGGATTCGTTTCTTTTGTGCTCGAGTCGCGACGCGTGAACTTTGAACGAAGCTTTTCTTTTTTTGCGATTTTTGTGGCCACTGTTTACAATTGTCTTGATCGATAGAATTAGTCGTTTGTTGAAAGGAGGAGATTGTTGTGTGAGGGAGAAAAATTTACAATAAGAATATGAAAATTAAGTATCAGGATCGATCAATTAATGTCTTTTTTATATATATATATAATTATAAGTTTGTTTCGCCACGAGTTCAAGTTACATCAAGTTTGATGGATCGTACTTTGATTAATATTGTTTTTTAATAAAACTTTGGACGTTGAAAGTTTTATTGAGAATTTAGCCGTTTCATCTGCAACTACGTAATAGGATAACTTTTTTATTGTAGGAAGCCTGGTCCTCTTGAAAAAAAAATTACTTTGGAAAATCAATCAAGCGTAATACTGCTTCCAGAAAAGAAAAAGAGAAGAGAAAAAAATCATCGAACGAATTCAACAATTCGAAACGATATATAATACACAACATGGAAAATAGAATTTTATAACCAAACTATTCAATCATTTTCGAGAATATCCGTGCAATCGATCATATATCGAGACACACTATGAAAAATATCCTAATATATTCATTCGTTTCGCGGTGTCTAAAACCAAAACCACGTTCCATAAATTTTTAAACTTTAAAAACTAAGTCCCTCGAATCGGGGGAGGGGAATGCCAATAATATCTACGATCCAACGCGTCGCTGATCCACTTTCTCACCCTGTATTACTCCCTATCGATCACCGACGGTCAACGTTTCGTCATTAATCACGGATCCGCCGTACGAACCCGCCCACCCCCCGTAAGCCTAATAAACCTGGTGGGCCAAACTTCGATACGTCGATGAAACCACCACCTTCGAACAACCGAAGGTGGACGACGATAATAATGACGATGGCGCGAGGAAGAGAAGGAGGAGGAGGAGGAGGAATGTTGTATGGTCAAGTTCGGCAAGCGGCTTTGCCGAACTTTCGCCAATCAGCAGGTGGAATCCCGGCCGAAACTCACTGACAATTCAATTACAACTAGGAATTCCCTGGACCCTGGAAGCTGAGAAAGTTTGGCGGTTTGATAGGGGAGGGAGGTGACCCACACTTCTCCAAGTGTTATGCAGATTTCTGTTTGGCCAGTCATTAGATTGCAGCCAGGGGGTGTTTGCAGCCACGGCGGTCGTTACGACGACCAACCCTCCCCCCTCGTCCACGATCACCACGTGATATTATTCTTCGACTTCTTTATCCATCGATCTCGTCGTCGTTTCGAAATATCAAAGTCGATTTCGACGAAGCTATCCCCCACCCCTCCAAAAACAGCATTAGTGCACTTACCGGCATAGTTTGGCTACCGTGTAAGGTATTGATCGCCGCTAGCGCTTCTTGATGCGATGAAAGTTTTACGAATGCACAGCCTGGAAAAAGAAAAAGAGAGGGGAAAGTTTCGTTAATCGTTTCGGTTATTCGTCGAGAAATTTGTATGTGGATTGTTTGAAAAGAGTGTGTTATTATCGATATTTAATTTGAATTCGTGTCGCGAGAAAATATCGTTTGTCGAGAGAAAAATGCCTCGTACGAATTGTACGATCGATCGTTGGAACGAAGAAACGAAAAATCGTTTTATCTCGCGCGGAAAAGAAGGCGGAAGGGCCCCTTCTCCCCTCCCCTCCCCGTTCCCGCCATTGTCGCAAAGTCGAGACCATCTCTAACGATGATGGAACGATTAATCGCCCCTTGCTCCCCTCCCCCAGCTACTAGCGTGCTTATCGTTATAGTTAGATGGAGACGCGAAGACAAAGAACTGGAGGGTGCTTTGAAAAATTGACGCGCCAGCGGAGCGCAACGTGCACTTAATAAAAGATGTTTACCACGAACGGAGAAACCGCTCCTTTCGTTTCGACCAATAACGGTGCGTATCACGGCGAGCAAACGATCCTGAAAAATTACCACGATCCGGGATCGTTCGCGGAATAATACGGGGCGATCCGTCACGCCGCCGGAGGATAATTTTAAACGGGGTTTCGAGTTTTTCGAAGGGAAAAAAAAAATGGCGTGTATCGCTTTCGATCGCGACTGTATAAAATTTTATTTATTTAAATTTTGATAATGTAAAAAAAAAAAAAAAAATATCGTCGAGCGTTCGTTCTCGTAGTTGAGGGAAAAATTTAATTCTCCTTTGATCGCAAAGGACAAATATTATTACATTTCAAAAATTGTATTTTATCAAACAACTATATCGAAGTTTAATAAACTCTCTATCGCGAGACTGTGCAATATCAATACATCGCGAAACGTATAGTTTATCTCGAAGAGGAAAAAACAAATTGATCGTTTCATCTTTTTCCTTTTTCTTTTTTTTTTTTTTTTACGGGAAGAAAGCCGTTGCACAACTATTTTCAAACTACTTCGATCGTTCGAAGAATTATTACCAGCAACGTTATAATTATTTCAAATTTAATTAAAACACGCGAAACTTTCCGTTCATCGTGAAACCACTCCGCGGTATCAGCTCATATTTCCCCGTCGAAAAAGGAAGAAAGAAGAAGAGGCGAGGGGGAGGGGAAGAAGAGAAGGAGGAGGAGGGAAAAAAAAAAAATATTACCCGAGGAAGATAAACTAGGAACATCGTTTTGATGAATTAATAAAATCGTTTGCACAGCTGAGGATACCTTGGGGCATCGAGTTTCAGTTTTATCGGATATAAAATCCTCCGCTATTTAACCGTTCCTATATATTTTATATAGTATATATATATATATATATATATATATAATATAAAAGCCGTACCAAAGGAGGGGGAGAGTTGGCGACAAGAATGGAGGGAGGAGGAATGTCCGAAATCGGAGATAAAAGCGATCCGAGGCGTAGGGGGTAGGTGGATAAGATTTTCTCGCGATTCAACCCCTGTCGTACAAGAATTTGTCCGAGCTTCCAAGCTTGTTCCGCTATTCCTTCTTGTGCAAGCGAAATCTCCGACTCTCGAGAAGGAGGAGGGAGGGAGGGTGGAGGAGGGGGGGGGTGGGTGGGTGGTCTCGAAGACGATGCGCTCTTCAGATTTTTCTTCCCCCGTTTCGGCGCGGACGGAAATAAAAGAGTCGAATTTCTCGAAAGTTCGCCTACTCTCGCGCGTTTGTATTTTCGCATTTTCTCCGTTCCTTTGTATTATTCGTGCGTTCATCTTTCTCCCATCTTTTCACTTGGATTCTCTCGCTCGAATCCAAAGCAATTTCCTTCGGTCGATACCAGGGTGATCGATCGACCAGGTATTATTATTAAAAAAGTTACTTTTAAATTAAGAAATTTCGAAAACTCTATATCACCTTGAATTTCCATTTCTCGCGAAAACAAAGAATCGATGGGAAATATCCGAGATCCAGCCAGAATTTCATATTTCACCGTTTTTATATTTAAATATAAGTCCCGCTATTTTCGTATTTTCTCGAACCCTGTCTTTTTTTCCATTTATTTTTACACAATTCCAAGACGAATCTATTCGAGTGTCGACGCCGTCAAAAAAATTTTCTTTAAGAAATTAACGAGAATGTCGAAACTCGAGCAACCTCAAATACAAAACTTTCTCCATCATTTCCCTTTAAGTAACAACAACAATAATAATAATAATAATTTTTACTCACACGCACGCAGCTTGGTGCGCGCGCGCGTCCATGTTCCACCATGGCTCCTTCCTTCCCGCCGGCTCGAAAACTATGTTTGCCCCCCCCTTCGAATAACGGCGAACAACAAACACTGGACAAACCGCTCTGGCCCTCCACCGACGACGATGTAGACTAGTTTCGTGGATCTCTCTCCCCGTTCCCATTCCGTCTCGAGCCCTCGCTCTCGACCCCTTCGCGACCCATCCGCTCCATCCCACTGTTCTCCACTCTTCCCACACCCGGGCCACGAACCAATCGATAACGCCTGCGAGACTTTCCACTCATATATTTGATTGCTCGGCAAACATGTCTAAGTTTATTCTGCGGCCCCCCCCCTCCATCCATCCATCCATCCATCCACCTACGACCCCGTCCAAGCGTTAACGCCGCGCTGCTTGCGCCAGTTTATACCAGGGCGAGCCAGACTTTCGATACTCGGTTGGAAACTCTCCAAAGGGAGGACGAATACGAATCTTTTTTTTCTTTTTCTTCCTTCCTTTCTTTCTAATCTTTTTATGCTCGAAGTAATTCGATCGGTATTAGAGCGACGTGTATTTATAAGTCGTCGATGGGGGAGAAGGGGGGTAATTGAAATACGGGACGGGGGGACGTTTAATCCTTCCTTCCTTCCTTCCTTCCTTCCTTCCGGGATAATCTTCGGCCGCGATTTCATCTCAATTTTCACCACCACGGCGCTTTATTATATCGCGGTTGACTTTACGAATCGGAAATCGAGTTCGCCATTTCTCGCGCACACTTTTCTGTGACTTTAATCACGAGAATTTCGCCATGTTTGTTATATCGTGTTATATCGCCGCGAAAATCGTGAAAATTGTGATTTTTCCTTACGTATTGCAAGCATTTTATTTATTTAAATCCACGCACGTTCCACTTTCAAGTTGAATCTCTCGCTTCTTCCGTTTCTTATACCGACTCGATATTAATCTCGAGAAGAGGCAACGTGAAATATATTAATCAATCTCGTTATACGTGTTTACCGTGGAAAACTGTCCAAACTTTCGAGAGAACTTATATATCCCTTATTATCGATCGAGCGAGAGTTTAACAATTGAATTTATCCATTCGGGACGCGGAAAATCTCGTTAGGTGCGGGTCTAATTGTTTTTGGAACGGAGAGAAGCCGCGGATGGAGGGGAGGGAGGGAGGGGGGGGGAAGATTATCGGTGGCGCGGTTTATCCCGAAAACTTTTCGTTTCGTGACGTGATAAATTAACGTTGGCCCCTTTTATTTGCTTTTTCACCGTTCAAGTAGCGTTCCGCGTTCGAATTGGCGACCCGCGAAAATAATATGATAGTGTATTGCGCCCGTGTGTTTTCGTTTTTATGCAAACTCGGGTGAAAAATACCGGCCGCTCGAAACACTGTAAACCCCGTGTCATCCGCGTTCGAATTGCGAGCAAACAACGAAATTCAATGCAAATCGACGATGGTAGATGGTATATATATTTGCCCCTGCAACAGTTGGAATCGTGGATGGAATCAACGTTCCCGTTCCATCTTATGATCGTTATTTTATTTCGATATACCGGCAATTTGCGATTACGCGCAATTTTTTTCCTAAGAAATTTCACAAGTGTTTCACGAAACTCGAACGATTACGATAAGATCCACAAAAAATTGAAATCTAAAAATATTATTACGATGATTAATTCAAGATAAAATTTAAAATTAATTTTAGAGAAATTAAAATTATTCCTTTAAGAATAATTCCTTTACACGTGCCCTCTCGTACTTTGCTTAATCACTGGTCACGAAAAAAAAAAAAAAAATTGGGGAACGAAATCTGAAATAGGTCGATCTAACGTTTTACACATTTTCCCCATAAAATGCACAACCACACGTAATTGAAATTTCAAATATTCGAAAAATTTTCTCATCCCAATTCGTCTTCGACGAATTTCACGTTAAAATAAGAATTCGTTGCCTCGTGGTCGTTAATTATCTCCTCTCCCCCTCCCCCAAAAAAATGGATTTACATCCCCATCGAATCGGGAGATCGAGACACTTTCCTTTCCAAGTAGTACGTAAAAGAGAGCAAAACCGTGTACGCGTGCAAATCGTGGGGACATATGCTCGATAACTACCGTTTGAGTCAGCGGCATGACATGCAGCTTGTGTGTGCCGACACCGGGAACGGACCAAACGAATCAATTTCATTGATGAAGCTACTAAATCCGGCGCGGGTTGAAAACGCGAGCACTCGTAATTGGTACAACGGTCGGTTTTACAAAGTACATAGAGAGAGAGAGAGAGAGAGAGAGAGAGAGAGAG